AGGAAGGGACTGGAAAATGGCACAGCATCAGTGCAGGACACAGCTCAGCACCTGTGAGGGACAGCACAGCATCCGTGTGGGACAGGGCACAGCACCTGCGAGGGACAGGCTGGCACAGCACAAAACCAGCGAGGAATGGGCTGAAAAGGACACAGCACCTGTGAAGGACTGGCTGGCACAGCATCCATGTGGGACAGAGCACAGTACCAGTGAGGGATAGGCTGGCACAGAACAGCATCTGTGAGGGATAGGTTGGCAGAGCGCAGTACCAGCGAGGAATGGGCTGGAAAAGGGCACAGGTTTGGTGCAGGACACAGCTCAGCACCTGTGAGGGACAAGCTGACACAGCACAGCATCCATATGGGACAGAGCACAGCACCAGCAAGGGACAGGCTGGCAGAGCACACTGAAGCTCCCCACAGGCCCCTGCAGAGCTCCCACAGCAGTGAGGATCATCCCTGCTGCCTGGAGCAGGCAGTGTAGCAATGTGCGTAACAGCATTTCCCCTGTGAGCAAAAACACTCCTTCCGTGCTCCTTTGGCCACCCACAGGTGGCACATCCTCAGAGGAAAGCTGCCCTGAAGCAGCAAGCACAGGGCTGGTCCACGGACTGCAGAAACAGCAGATGCAAACCAAAAACAAACCCCAGAGAAATGAGCAGCCCCGAACACACCTAGAGCAAGGTAAAAACCACTGGAGCACTGTCAGGAACCAGCCCTAGCCACCATAGTGTGAAATACTGTGTCTAAGAAACACAGGCAAACCCAAACCATCCCTTTTGTTTGCTTTAGGATCAGAGTGGAACAGACATGTTAGCAATTGCCCAACTCCATCCCCAGCCTGCCAAAGCCTACACCACACAGCTTACTTCTAAATCTTTATTTGTTTTCTACACAGAGAAAACAGAGGAATGTTGAAGCAGCAATATTTAAACACACTAGCAAGGAGCCATCAATCTGTGAGAGTGCACAAAGTGCAACACAGGGCCGTTGGTGCTGTGGTCTGTGCTACAGGGCAGGGTGAGGGGAGTCCAGGAACAGCCTCTTCAGACACACAGGAGAGCTCTATGCAAAGGTGGAGCCGTTCCAGCCCACGTTGGCAGCGTTCATGTCGAAGTAGTTGATGTAGACCCTGCAGAAGAGGTACAGGAGGAAATAACAACCACCTTATTAACTCATTTATGTAAGTTGGGACAACACAACAAGGGACAGCGTTGAAATTCTGTTGTTCTGCTACAAAAAACATCAAGCTTCATCTTTACCAAAAATCTGGTGGCGCCTCCAAACAGTCAATACTTCTCAGTCCTCAAATTTGTACTTTTTCTAAAACAGGAATTCTTCTGCAGTCAGAGACTGTGCAGACAGCAGACAGATTTTGTTTAGCAGCCTGTCAAGAATTTATGGGGATCAGCCCCTTTTGTTTCTGAGGCAGCAGTCCCTCACAGAGTGGCAGCCTCGGGGGGTTAAGCACGCCCTCAGGCCTGGCTCTGTGTCTCCCCTCAACTCTGGTGGCTCCAGGCTCTTCCCCTCCCTCACAGCTGCCCACAGACACTGCTGAACTCTGCAGCCTGCAGGGAGCTGCTCACAGCCTGCTGCCTCCACTCCGGTCTCTCAGCTCCAGCCTGTTACTGCTCCCTGCTCCTGCTTTCAGCCTTGCCTCCCCAGAGGACAACACATCACACCTCAGAGGCAGAAAACACACTGGGCAACTTGTCAGTGCTCTGGTGTTTTTCCCTACTCTCAGAGCAGAAAACAATTGAACAGAGGACTCTCCGGGGAAAGAGGCAGGCACTGAATTCTTATGTGGACGTGAAAGCGCTGCAAACAATCACTTGGTATTTTCCAAAACTTGTTCCTGGCCTTTTATATTTTTAAACAGACTTTCTAAAGCAGTTTCAGAAAGCCAGGTAAATATGGTTGAACCATGTCCCAGCCTTACCTGTCTGCAGATACGTGCAAGTGCTTGGAGATCAGATCACAGAGCATCTTGGTGTAGGTCTTGTTCTGCTGCCCTCCTATCTTGCCGATGCTGTAGAGGCTGCAGAGCGCGCAGGGATCAGTGGAGCCCCCGAAGGACATCATCTGGTCAGGTATGATGTGCACAGCTATGTACTGCGGGAGGGAGGGAGGGAAACACTCCGTTACAGGCTGGCTGAAGTGACGAAAATCAGCTTTAGGTACCAACTCTAAACGGAGCGGTTGTATTGGGGTCAGGCAGCTCTTCAGTGCTGCCCCCTGCGCATCTCCCAGGCCCAGGGGAGGCTCCGGCGCGGCAGCTCCCACGGAGAGCACGGCCCTGGGGGCTGCGGGGACCCTCGGCCCGGCTCTCAGCTTTGGGAACGCGGTTTGTGTGCACAAAGCCGCCGGCCAGGCAGGCAGGCAGGCACTCCCGCCCGCCACAGCCGCGCCACCGCGCGGGGCGGAGCGAGATAAGGGCCCAAAACCTGTGCCTGCGTGCCGGGGCTCACATCCCCAAATCACGGACCGATTCGCTCTTATCGGGCTCCTGCAGTCTGGCCCAGGAGGGGCCGTGCCGGATGGCTGAGCCGGCAGGAGCTGCCCGCAGCGCTCGGTCTATCCGAGCCCCTGCCCGGCTGCCTCCGTGCCACTGCGCAGCTCCGCCGCTCTCACCGCCACCGCCAGCACAGGCGCAGCACATCCCCGGCTACGTGAGCGCCGCGCTCCCGCAGGCCCGGCTGCTGCTCCCGCCAAGGGCCGGCCATCGGGAGACTCGGGGCGGAACGGGCACCGGCTCCTTTCCTGGAGCAGCGGGGCCGCCGCCGCGCTGTGCCGCAGCTGGCCCGCCCGGCGCAGGCCCCGCGGGAGCCGAAGTGCCCCAGGGCCGCTCCGCCGCCGCCGCCGCCCCTCCCGCCGGGCCCGCCGCGCACGTGCTCGCCCCACTGCCCGCCCTCACCTGCGCGGGCTTGCCCGTGGCCTTGGCCAGCTGCTGGGTGAGGTCGCCCAAGAGGTTGTCGGGCACGGCGTCCTTGCAGACATTGGTGTAGATGGAGAACATGGGCATGGTGGCGGCGGTGGGGGCGGCGGGGCCGGCGATGGGAGCTTAACCGAGCGGCGGGACCAGCGCAGTGGAGCGGGGAGGCGTCAGCGGCGCTTTTAGTGCGCGGGGCCGCCCCGGACGTGAAGCGGCCCCGCCCGGCAGGGAGGGGAGGGAGCGGGGCGGGGACACACGGACACACAGACACACACCGGCTCCGCCGTCTGCAGCCCCCGCTGCGGGGTGCTGACCCCTCCCGCGGCCGGAGGTCTCCCCCGCTCCGCCGTTATTCCTGGGCTTTGTTACTGCCGCTGAACATTTTTTGCGGGTTTGTTGCAGGCTCCTTCCTGGAACGCGGTCCGGGCGCTCTGGGCAGCTCATACATAACCTGGTATCAGCGCGTGTGATGCTGCCGCTGTGGCGCTCCCTCTGATTTCTGCGGGATCAGGGCCAGAGAGGGATACAGGCCCAGCTTGGCAGTTGCAAAAGGCGGTACTTGCCCTGACTCCGAGAATAATTTTATTTTGCATACTAACGTAACATTTGTAGCGGTTTTGCTTTAACTGTGTGTACAGCTTTAGCTCGGTGTAAGCAGAAACGTCTGCCTTGCTGCCATATAAATTATTCTCTAATGTATTTCAGTCAAATTAAAAATTACCTATTGCTCCTTAGCCTCCCCATTTTCACATCATATTTTTCTGCTGGAAAGTAGAAGTGAATTTTGTTTTGCTTAGGACCGAGCTGGTGCGTGCCTGTCGGAGGTGAGCGGCGGCAGAGCCGAGCCGTGTGTGCGCTGTGTGATGCGATGCACGTAGGCGGCTGCCAGCGCACGGCTCCCCACCCCGGCTCTTGCCTGTCCCCACGGCGGCAGCGCTGCTCTGCTCCCGAAATGACTCACAGGAAGGCTAAAGAGGATCAGGCCCGGAGCCCTCTGTGCCCAGACATTGCACACGCAGCAATCGTGCACTGCTGCTGCTGGAAAGCTTGCCCACACGTGTTACAGATGTGAGCGCTCACGGCCCTGAGTGAGGAGTAAGGGACGGTGTCATACGGGGATGCATTGGAGTGACACAGGTTATAATGCTGAGAACTGCAGCACTTCCTTTTCTAGTGATTAACAGTGCTTAGGAACAGCCACTAAGAACGGATTAAGTTTCCTCCCTTTGATATCCTCAGTTCCCTGCCATTGCATAGTCCCACTTACTCCTTTCACCTTCCTGCCTCCTAGGTTTGGTGCATGGAGGTGGGGTGGGGATTCTGCCTGTGCAGGGAGGAAAGCTCTAGAGCAGCAGCACTGGTGTGCTTGTCCTGTGGCCTGCCAGGCCCAGAGTGCCAGCCCCTGGCTGTGCAGCCACTCAAAGGAGAGACATCTGCACTTTAATTCTCTTTTGCCTCCCTGACTGACTAAAGCAGCTTCCATTTGTTATCCCAACAAAGCATTTTTGTTGTTTGAGGTGCAGGTCTGTATTTGAAGTCTGTGGCTGCAAGGCAAAGCTGTGGTAGGGACACAATGGGATGTTAACAATAGAGTTCAGAACGGGGGTGTGATAAGGTTTGCTCTTCCAGAAAAACTCACAATACACTTCACTATAGAATTTCAGGAAACCTCTCTGCTCAATCTTTTATTTTACTTTGGAAGCAAATGATTTTATCTGACCAAGGGCTTAAATAATAAATATTTGTATGCAAATCTTCCTTTCATGATTAATTCACCACTTCAGTCCCTAGGAATTACTGTGGCTTGCTGTGCCTCTGCCCCTTTCTGAGCTGAGCTCTAATCTTCGCTGTCACTACAAATTGTTCAGTGGATGGAAAGGGGAGGGCACAGCAGTGTACAGTGGTTTTTTCCACTCACTCCCTCTGCCTGTTCTGAGGCCTGGGAGACTCCCAGCACAAATTTTTCTGTTACTCAGCTACATATCCCTGTAGCGCTAGGCCTAAAGAGGCCTGGACTGCAATCCATCCCTTTTAAATCAGAGGTAATCATGTCTTTGCCCATTTTGAAGGGAGGTCCATGTGCAACATTTCCACATCTATTAACTTAAATGTATCTTGAAACCACATCAGGATTTATTTATCTCTTCTTGAAATTTGGCTCTTGAGGACAGGGCAAAGGCAAAAGGAGTGTTCATCTTTATATATGACTAAACCTTTTTTTGAAAGAAAAGCTCCTCTTGAGAGTATTTTGAGAAGG